AGAAACTAATTGTAAGTGACACAAAAAATCTGTCTCGAATGTAGACCTTAACAACATGTGTAAGAAATTACTGTCAAAAATTACTGATCTAGAACGAATACTACTGCTACGAGGGATAGATACCTTTTCTTCGATTTCTTTGATCTTCTTCTCAACCAACGATGCCGGTATGCCATCTTCACTGTTCTGTGCCTCCAGAAGCATCGTCCAAAGTTCACCTGAATCAACTCCGTTCATACAAACTCCATTCATCGTAGTCGCTGTTAGATTGATGTGAGATACCCTTTCACAAATTATAGCTTAGTTTCATAAACTGCAATCAAAAGAGAGCGTAAAATCGATCAGCAAAACAGAAAAAAAAACAATATCATCAAATGATAAACGATATCGAATTTCATTTCTCTTGACACACATTACTGATCAAGTAATCAAAAATTCCTTTACTATACGAAGTTGCCCACATCAAAAACTGTGACAGGAATGAAAATTCATGAAAAATGTACTACTGAGAGAGGTTCACAACGGGAAATTTCTGAATGTTTAAGGAAGCAAGGAAGCGTTTTTTTGAAAAGAATTTGCAATCTGATATGTGACCAACCCATGAACTCTCTGGCACGTCGTGCATTCAGGAAACCGGTCAGATTGATTTGCATAACTTTCGGATTGATAGTTTTCTCTTCAAGTTGACTGAATACGTACTCAATGAGCACATCATCTTCCATGCCTAATATCTCGTTGACTTTTGCAGTTATCCACGGTTTTAGCACATCCAAATTGATACGACTCATACAAATCTGAAAATGTTCGAAGCCGTAGTAACAACGACACAGTTACATGCGCATACTCAACTACACGTTCACTCCACTTTTCTGGAAGTATTGGTGAGTGGTGCTAAATTTGATGGTGAAATAATGAATTGACTGACCTTCTCTTCAAGAGCATCTTCGAAACGCATTTGCTTCAATAACTTGCGTTCTTTGTCCGTAAAACGGCTATCTTGATCGAAACTCGTTCCACGGTAAAATCCTGCATCCCCCATTGTGAACGCCTTAAAATACTTCATTGAATAATCATTACCAATACAAACAACTCTAGCGAAACATTTGTAGTAACTGGTAACAGACACGATAAACAAGCGCTTTTATGGATCTTTATACGAGAAATATTCGAATGAAGGTGATGATGCATTTGAAACAATCAGACTGTAATCCAGAGTCAACAATAAAAGCAAAAACTTATTGTTGGATATCGCAAATATATTCACGCGATTCACATTAGGTGTTTGGTCTCTATTCTTTCTATTGAAACCAATGAAAGTTTTCACGCACATTCATTTGGTGCTAAAAAGTAAGCAAACGGTCTTCCAAAGTCACAATAAAAATGGATAAAGCTAGGTAATTAGGCAGTAAACTAATCGTAAGCACGATAATATCGCATTATGTGTAACTATGTCATCGCTACCGACTCTTTATCACGAACGAGTTTTGCAGTAATATTATACTGGTGCACAGTAAAACATTACTGCAAAATAAACACGATACATACAACAAGGAAAACTTTTTTCATGAAAATCTCTACCAAACATGAACAAAATCCACTCGGATAAAAGATTGAAATTCTTTTCCGCCGTTTTACAACAAAACGTTGGCTGTACTCCAATCGCTGAATAATCCTCTCACATCCGACAAATTCAAAAATTATCGAGGACGAAGATGCAGCTTCAAATATCACTCAATGCATCACTCAATGTATAACAGAGATGTCAAGTGAACGACAAGCAGATTCATTGAATCGGAATCCAATGAGATGCATTTTTACAATCCTGATGCTGGATTGTACCTCCTCTGGTAGCAGTAGGACGGAATCCATTTGAGCCTCATCGAATTTCAGTAATCGCCTGAAATTTCAGCAAGGAATCAATTCCACAACCGAAAATTTGTTTGGAACTTACCGGTCGAACTTCGGTTGGTTTCCATCACTTGGGGCTCATTTTGAGTCTATCTTTCTAGAATTCATTGGGCAGTGAGGGAGAGTAGCTCAACCACTCCATATTCATTAAATCAACGATCGAAGTCAGAATTTCACGAAGACGGATGATTCCCAGCGCAGTTGTAGTTAGCTGCGTGGAAAGGATGTAAATGAAGAAAGAATGTGATATTGATGATAACAGAGAGGCAAAAATTCGTAAGGAGCTGTAATTGCTGATTAGATAAATAACTCATAATATGATGAATACAAGAAGACGGCAATTGTAAAATGGTTGAAAACAAAAGAAATTCAGGTACAGAATAACGACTACATCCCCGAAGTTGCGAATAAGAAACAATATCAAATTGCTGATTGCATTAATAAATAAATTGATTATAGGGATATGATTGACTATCGTAAGACATCTCACTAATTAAATGTCGTAATGACCGGAGAAAATGGCAAAGCAAATCAGGATTAGGCAACATTACAAAGCATTTTAACGTACCTTATTTACTGTATTCACCGTGTCGAATACGGTCACACAATCAATGTCTTATGCAAGTGCTTCGTGCAAATTTATCACTTTAACAAGCAAACTTTACTCTATAGAAGTGCTTTGGAAGTAAGAAAAATATTTCCATATCTTCCACAATCCATATTGAGCTGTTTTTTCTTGATTGATCAAACAACTGTCGGCTTTGCTGAAAATCATCACATGCAAATTATTATATGCAAATTATCTCAATCAGTTTCAACCATCATAATAACAAGAGTCAATTTTACTATTTTTACGAACTGACAAGTTATCGAACGGTTCGCCTTGCAAATGGCTGCGACTGATGGCTCGGTTAGTTGGCTGCAACTGATTGAAACATGGATATCTCCTTTTCCAGAGCCATTACGATGTTGTTGAAAGCGGAAAGCTGGTTTCGCTGATATAAGTGATGCCGGAGAATTGGATCGCATTGAGCGAGATGATAACATGATCTAAAAATCTGTCGAAATCGCAAATTTTTGGTAAATTGAATTCATATCCGCATGAATATCGAACCGAGGATTACATGAAATGATTACAAGCGATCAATGAAATCACTGATCAGATTGCAACCAAAACTGCAAAAGAAGCGAAAGCAAAAAGGATGCAAGAAGACGCTCTTTCAAGACTCAAACAACTCAGAAAGGAAGCTCGAATTCGAAAAGCCAAATCCGATTCTTGTGTTGATGAGATTGTTCACATTCAGGTGTGTCTTCGCTTCAGAATCTTTACAATGCATTCATTTTGAAGCATTCATCCATCTACGCATCTGTGACTGTAGTTAAAGCTTCGCAATTCTCTCAAACAACCGAATGCTATTTATCTTTATTTTATCGTCCTTTTGCAAATTCCACTCAGTTAAGTCCATACTATTCGTCAACTTACACAGCGCTGAACCTTTTCAATCCTGGTTTGTGTCTTATCAGTCAAACCCGGAATAAGCATCCTATAAAGTGTCATCGCTTCTAAGAAGTAGTCATGGGCGGTTAGTTGACTCCAAGTTTCAGTTCGTGAATTAAGCAATCACTTCGTATTTGATAATTCTGGCTCAGATTTGACCATACTCATTCTGAGTTATGACTGGCAGACATGGTCAACTATATCACCTTAGAAAATCCAACCGAAATGTCGTTTCGAAAAGCAGAAGTAGTGACCTAAACAGATTCGTCGCTCGTTACTAACAGATGCAGAAGAAATTTTTGAGTTATTGATGCTGATTTTCACTAATTTTTAAACTGCCTATCCAGTGTTTATAATGCTTGTGAGCCCGTTCCATCTCGTTCCCTTTCTCATCACACAATTCAACCAATCCATTGCTAATTCAGGGTGGTGGTGAGTTACATTTTGTGAACAACTCCCAAACTCGTGCGTATTATTTGGTGAAAAATGATTCGTGGTTGTATTTGGAGCGTGAGAACGATGGCTCATCAAATACACTGTACATTGTACGCAGATTGTCCGATGGACGGATCCTTACCAAAGCAATGGTCGACTGAACCAAATCTCATGGAATATCGACCTCGTCACACAAATATTTCATATTTTCACATGTATAAACCTTTTGTAACTACCATAATTGATCAGTTGATCTGAACTGACACGATATGAAAAAGTTTTGCATTATTTTAAGTGGAAGGTTTGATGACTGATTGAATTCATTCAAGTTTTGAGCACCCAAAATCTCGATGAACTGCCAGTTTACTGAAACAAATAGAACGAATTTACTGCTTAATTAGTTTATGATCATATAAGGTCCCTGATGAAGATTTTTAAGCTAAGTAGGTTCCTAAAATTTGCGCTGCACAGTTCTGTAAATTGTTGAAGTTCTTTTTTTCGGTGAAGTGACAAGTTTCTGACTAATTAGGTCGTTGTATTCGAATTTACCTGAAGATTAACTAATTAGCAACAACATCGAATCAATATTTGGGAAGATAATTCGAATTTATCTCATTGTGATGAAGTCATCAATGTAGTGCTTTTCTTTGATCGGTTATCAATCACCTAACGAGTTGTTGTCAGAGTAAAGAGCTCTCGATTTGGTATTCATATTGTAACGGTGTCATTGAGATCCTTCACTTTGCAAATCTTTCACCGTAGTTCGACAAAGGCTTTCATTCAATAAACTCTTTTAATGGTATCTGTCGTTCCGTTTTCTCAGTTCATTTCATACAATTCATGCACGTTCAAAGGATAAAACACAAGAAGCCGATCGTACCAAAAAACAATGGTATTGCTGAGCAAACTTGAGGATACAGTTGGTTTGAAAGTGATGCGTGTGATATTCCCTTAGAACTGTATCATTGATCACACCACAGTGATCAATTGTGCACAGTTTGGCGGTAGAATGGCTCAAGTAGATTGACAATCAGTTGCATCTCTTGAACTAAGCAAAATCCCCCAATAACACTTATAAATCCTAAAAGCTGAGAATCTGTTGAATCCAATAGTACCAAGAAACAACAGTGTTGTGGGATAAGCTTGAAGATGAAGCTAGTTTGAAAATGCTCCTTATGATATTCCTATCGGAGGGATCCCATAGGGAGGAAAACGACCCATTTTTGGATGATTTCGGGGTGTCAGGAGGGTTATTGAGGGAGTCGAGAAATTATTTCTGACATTATGCGTCAAAACAGTAAATTACTGTCGAGAGAAGAAGGGGTAATGATGGGCTACCGGACTATCGAAGGAGTTAATGGAACTCCCGAACGTGGGAACCACCGGTTTCCAAGATACTGTGTATATGCCACTCGGGTTCATCAATTTTAAGTGCTCCCGCTGTTCTTTGCGCTTGGTTGAATTTCCATACAAATGGATTGATCATCAACAGAGTATACAAAGAAATAGGAACAGCCCCAGGCAAAGCCTAGAGCCTGATAATGCCAACCTGCCATCTTGTATGGTTTTTTCTCAATTGTGGTAGGTATGGTAGTTTTTACGGATAGAGATTTAAAATGTGAGTGTGATGAGATCAATATTTTTAGCTTGTAAACAGCTTCACATGTTCTATGATTCTTCATCTAGTGTTAACTTATGAATATTCTATGAATCTGATGTTGTTCCTTTCATATGCAATAAACATTATGATACTTTCGGAATTCGATGATTTATTTATTTGCCGAGGAAAGAGCTAACAATCAGTACACATAAACACACAAACAGATGATCATGGAAAATCGACAGCAGTTGCTCAGCGATCTTTGGTGAGATGTAATATAACATAGTGATTGATGTTGAAATTGAAATGACATTTTAGATTAATGCATTACATAAAGATGAAAGTTGATTGAGCGAAACATTTGGTTGTTGTCAGAACAATTTTTAACGATGCTTTGAAATGCCTTCAAGAGTTTGTCTGTAATTGGATGTTTGTCGATACGAGAAGAAAGAACGATAAAGTTCTGCTTGCAAGTGAATGTTATGCACGACTGAATGAGTCTGTCGAATTTTCGGTTGACTTGCTACAGGATTTACCATTGACCATTCAATATCCCGCTGATAAACTCGAACTGCATCTGTAGAGATGCGTTAGCTTACATAGTCATCTGAATGAATGGACTGCCAAAACACTGAGCCTCGAAACAATGAGCGCATAATGTTCTTAATCGTTAGACTCGTAATTGAAGCGAAGTTTTTGATTCGGATTTGGATTCCAAATGATGCCTTGGAAAGTGATTCTGCTGA